ATCGTTGTACTCTCTTCGCTGCGTGGTCTGGGTGCAGCCGTTATACCAGCCCGGGTCGGGCCATATCCCCGGCTAGTCACTCCGCATCGTGTATCACTCACAGATACTTTTTCTTGTGATGCTTGTCTCTTTAACCACCCCCTTAACCCCTCCCCTTACACAGTTTTCCAGCCAACAAGCTGGTCAGGATCCTGCAGGCGCCTTACGACCAATTGAGACATGGTAAGTCGACAAACGAGGAGAGGACAAAGACAAACAACATCCACTATGTAGTCACTTCACAGCGACCTACAGGCAGCTGAGATCCCGTAATAGCCCAAGCTTACACTCAACTCCTCTACCTGCCGTGGCTGACACCTCTTACGCACGTAATCGTATTCCCGGTTTTACCTACCGTCCCCAGTCTATTTCAAGATTATTCTCGTCGCTTATTGAAGCCCCTAGTACCTCTCCCCCCCGATACTCCATCATCCCTTATTTCACCAGGTCTTGTATAGGATATAACTGTCTCACTCCCTGCCTTCATCGACTTTCTGAATCACCTCTCGTACTTCCTCACCTCTTTCGTCCATGCGTTCTCGAGTACAAGCCCGCTACCAGTCGCTTCCAGTGCAATACTACCCGTGCAATTCAGTGAGTTTCACGTCATCTTTCCAATTCTACCATTGGATATAGCTAACCATAATGGCATCAACAAAGCTTCAACCAGTCCATATCCTCAGCTGCTCACACCCGAATCCACACCGGCGTGAAGGCTTGTCGGTGCAGCTACTCTGACTGCGGTGGACGATACTCTGACGTACGACACTCCATTCTCTTCACAATCGTCACCATATAACCAATGTCTCAGGTCCCTCCCGCAATAGCTGCCGATTTAGACGCAACGACCACAGGGACAGTCACCGTCGCAGTCGTCACCAGCGCGGCTGAGCACAACCCCAACCCCAGCAGGACTCTAGAGGATCGCGCGTCCGAATTCGAGATTAGCGAAACATCTTATACTCCTGATCACATCATGTCTTCTCACGCTCGCATCGGCAAGCGCGTCAATGTCGGCGAGAAGTTCTATAGTTGCGACGACCCTAAGTGCGGGGGCAAATCTTTTCGCGTACGACACTCCGTCCTCTTAATAACGCCGCACATCTCTGACATCGTGACTAGCATAGTAACTTACACCACCATATGAGGAGAAAGCACAACGACGACGAGCGACCCTTGAAATGCAGCGTCGATGGCTGTCAATTTAGCTTACAAAGCGAGAGAGGAAGCTTCATCAACACCGTTGGGAAGCCCTCCGATTCTGACCAGCAGATGCCTCAGTACGCTCCTCTCCTTCTGTTCAACTTCATCCCAAAGCCGTTGCACGCAATAACACGCTCTAGAGTTCTCGACCAGCAGCGAGGACGAGTTCGTCAGGCCCGCAAGAACCGTCACAGTCTCAGGCAAAAGGTGCGATAGAAATCATTCCAATAGCGATCCATGGGAATACCCACCGGATGACTACCCAAGCAAGGGAGAAGGGAAAGTATTGACGAGAACGAGACAGTGCGACGGACAGACCCCTTGCTTACGCTGCAATAAGCGAGCAAACGGCTGCTCCTGCGATCCTCCTTACACCCGCATTCCGATAAAGAAAGGCGTCATACCTTCCGCTAAGAACTTACCTGATTTATCTCCGCCGCAAGGCATGATATCAGGACCTACAAACACGCCTCCGTTACGCTCGCCTCTAGCCACTAGCTCCGCTCACCACATACTGTGCGATTCCCCGTCAGCTATGTCGGAATGGAGCCAGCCGCCCGATGCTCAGCTGGAAAGGTACGAACCGGTGGCTGCTCCTAGAGTCCCTAATCGATCTGGCGTCCCCGTCTGTACGTATAGCCCCAATTCGCCTTCTCTTCCTATATCTCTAATTAGCTGACACGATGAACTTGCACGTAGTTGGCTCCTCGTCGGCTAGTTTGCTCGCAGAGAGTCCCACAAAAAAGGGCGAGCTCTGTCGTATTTGGATTCATGGCAATGATGTGCGTCATTCTTTCAATCCCGCATTCATGAGGCTAACTATTCATCCAGTTAAGCGAAAACAATGAAATCTTACTTCAAGTTAAAACGTTCGCGTGCTTCGCAAGATACAATGGAAATGGAGAACTGGAAGTCTTTGACGCTGGGACTTTCATGGTTGTTCAATCCACGAATGGACGTATAGAGGTAGGGGCGAGAGAGCTAAGTGCGGCATCATACGCTATATCAGAGTGTCTTCTCCACGCGGACATGACCTCAACCGCAATGGGCTCCTTGCTCGAAGGGCGTCTAGTTTTCAGATCTATGAAGGGTCTTACGATGAGCAATATGCCAAAGGTATTTGACAGTCATGGAATAGTACTTTGCTTTAACCCAGGACTGTCTCTCGAAGAGACCAAGATCTTGATACGGATGCACTTGCCCTTTGGCGAGTATCTAAGACTACATGGTGCGATGACTTGGGCACATGCTTAGCAGGTATCTGGCTGGAGTTTTGTTTCTAGATGTGAGTTACCGCGATACAAACTCCGAAGCCTCCCATAAGCCTACTAATACATAAAACAAGAAACTGGTGCATTGCGAGCATGGTCTAGTTGAAGTGGAGGCTTATGTTGACAGTTTGCTATGGCATGAGGGATGTTTTGAGGGTTTGGAGAAGAGCGCAGGCAGCTGTCAAAATGCTGGGCGAGATCTTGTCTACTTTGACGCGTCTTCTGCTGAGAAGATGGAATACACTCCTTCTCTTTCAACAGCCTGCAAGTTCCTGAGATATACCCTCCCTAGCTTTTTGTAGCGTCAAATAAATCGTTTCTTCTTTAATTATCATGTCTCTGTCTGGTTGTCAAATACCACC